AGACAAACGCGGAGCCGTCAGTTTCTGTTCAGAGGTGACGACGGTGAGGCCGCCGTCGCTGCGGCTGCCCCCCCCCTTCCTGCAGCCACTCTGGGAAAGGACGCTGCAGCGAGTCCAAAGGGTGCCAGGCCGGGCACAGTCCAGGGATTTCCCTCCTCTTTGGGTGGCCGGCCTTTTACTTGTTGAGGGACAGCGACTGCATCCGCTTGCCTGTCAGGGCTGCATCGTCTTTAGCTGGGGAGGGAAGCGAGAAGAAAGAACAGCTGAATCCTCCCTTCTCATTCCCATCTAGTTCAGCGGTTCTCAACCCTTTTAATGCCGCGACCCCCAACCGGTCGTAAGTCGAGGACTAAACCGGTCGTAAGTCGAGGACTAAACCGGTCGTAAGTCGAGGACTACCCAACTGGTCGTAAGTCGAATACTTTCCCTGCCCGGGAGCGCCGCGCAGGCGTGGTTCCGCCCGCTGCGCCGGCCGAGGCGTAGCTGGCAAGCGGCAGAGACGGAGCAGGCCGACCACCAGCTGGCCCAGCCCAAGGGAGGTAAGGCACCCGCCGGAAAAGGGGGAAAAAAAAATGGCGGACAGCCTTGCTTGGCGACCCCCGTGAAATGGTCGATCGACCCCAAACGGGGTCGCGACCCATAGGTTGAGAACCGCTGATCTAGTTCAGCGGTTCTCAGCCTGTGGATCGCGACCCCTTTGGGGGGGTGTCGAACGATCCTTTCACAGGGGTCACCTAAGACCATCGGAAAACACATATTTCCGATGGTCTTAGGAACCGAGACACCGCTCCTCTATCCGTCTCCGCACGACTTCGAGCCGGGGGCCGTTGCAGCACCGGATTCGTTTCCGTCGAGCATCTCCTAAGGGAGGCTGCGCTGCTTCGCGGCCCTTTCCGCGGAGGAGGCTGAACTAAGCTCTGCCGGCGCTGTCGCCCTCTTGGCTCTCTCTCCCCCCCCCGCCTGGGCGCTTCTCCAACCAGGCTGGGCGGAGCGGCCGTCCTGCCCCCCCTCCCCGGCCAGCTGGAGCCGGGCAGGCCGGCGACCTTCGGAAGTGAGGCGAGGACAGGCGAGGCACGCTGAGCCCCGGGCGCGGCGGGTGAGTGGGTGGCGTCGGTGCGCGCTTGGAGAACCCTTAGGGTTGGGGGTCACCGCAACATGAGGAACTGTATTAAAGAGTCGCGGCATTAGGAAGGTTGAGAACCGCTGATCTAGTTCCTTCCTTCCTCCCCTCCCTCCCTCCCTCCTTCATTTCCATCTCCTTTAGCCTCCACCAAATTCCCCCCACACACAAACACACCTCTTCTCTCCTCTTCCTTCTTCTTGGCTGCCTCTTCCCTCTGTTTCCGGATAATGGCTAGCCGGGCGAGGTCGGCCTTTGCCTGTTCCGTTTTCCCCGCCAGGTGCATCTTCATGTACCTTTCCTTGGCTTTCTGCTTTTCAATCTCTTCTCTGCAAAGGGGGGGAGGGGGAGGGAGGGGGAGGAGGAAGAAATAACACAACATCCAGGTAAACACGGTGCCTTGGGGAACAGCTGGCCCAGCTGGACACGGCAGGTTCAACAGAGGGAACCAAATAGCTCGCATTTCAGCCCTGCTGCCTGGCTACAGAGAAAATTTTAAAGCAGCAGGAGCGGGTGTGTATGTGTGTGTGTGTGTGTATGTGTGTGTGTGTGTAGAAAAATACAGGGAGTCCTCGACTTCCGACAGCTCATGTAGTGAACGTCCAAGGTTCCCATTGAAAAAAGTGACGCATGACCCTTTTTCACCGTTACGACCTTTGCAGCATCCCCTGTGATCACGCGATCCAAAATTCAGACGCTTGGCCACCGCTTCGTACTTATGACCGTGGAGGTCACGGGATCCCCTTTTGCGACCGTTGGACCGGCCGAGTCAACGGGGATGCCTGATTCACTCAACAACCGGGTTACTAACTTATGAACCGCAGGGGTTCGCTTAGCGACCGTGGCGCGAAAGGTCGTAAAACGGGGCAAAACGCGCGTGAAAAATGTCTCGCTTAACAAGAGAAATTTTTCGGGCTTCCTGGTGGCCGTAAGTCAAGGACTGCCGGTGCGTGACCGTAAGGCTCCCTACAGGCTATGTTTCGCTTCCAAGTCAAGGTAGTGGGTTTTTTTTTTTAGCCCTGCCACTTTCAAAGGCGAGGACTTCAACTCCCAGAATCCCCCATGCAGCTCTGCTGCAGCCGAGGTTTGACAAAGGCGGATGTGAAGAATGAAACCAGAGAGTGCAATTTGTGCTGCCCTGTTTCCCTGTTTTCCAAGAGATTTTTTAAAAAAACTCATCATCCAAATCGCCTTCCCAAACCTTTGGCTAATATCCTGGAGGTCCTGGAAAGAGGCCGGGGCAAGGCCAGGACTGCCCCCCACCCACCCACCCACCCCTGAGAGGGGAAGGAGATGGCTTACCGTTCTCTCCGCGACAATTCCCGCGGGCTCTCCATATCGAGCTGAGTAACCTTCTTAGCGGTTGGCAC